TGAGATCAATGGCTGGTAAGCCCCCCCCCCCCCCGCCGCCTTCCTTTCTCCCTCTGCCTCCGGGCCGGGCGCCTTCATTTCTCCAACCGGGGGGCAGACGGCTAAATGCTCCCACCTCCCCTCATTCCAAGGTGCAGCAACGTGCACTTTATTCGCCCTGGAACTCCAACGAATTGCCTAAAAATGAATGGAGTGTGGCCTCCTCCAAGGGCATCCTCACTCTTTTCTTCCCCGACGTGCCTTTAAAAATAGGCGAGACTAAGGTCTTTTTTCCCCCCTTAGACTTTTCTTTTTTTTTTTTTTACTCTTTTTATTTATTATTTGTCAAACATGCATTAGATATAAGTATAAACATGATTATACATGAAATGGATACAAATAAATGGGGACATTAGGCCAGGGACGATAGGTTGAATGAGGAGGTGGAATGGGGAACAATCACATACCTCCTTTACCAAAACCAGCAAACCCAATTAAATTATCAGCTAAATTTTTGGGCTCAGTGTCTGTTTCTGGACGAGACTCTTAAAAGTTTGGTTTTAGGGACACCTGGAAGATAATTTGCATTGAATATCTTACAGGTTGTCTTGACTGTAAACAATTCATTTAGGGACGTCCGAAGTTACAAGGGCACTTAAGACAGTTTTTCACACTTAGGACCGTTGCAGCATCAATATTCAAACACTTGGCAACTGGCATGTATTTATGACGGTTGCAATGTTGTGAGATCATGTGGACACCTTTTGCGACCTGTTAAGCAGAGTCAATGGGGAAGTCAGATTCACTTAACCATGATACTAACATAACTGCAGTGATTCACTTAACAACTGTGGCAGCAAGGGTCATAAAATGGAGTGAAATTCACTTAAGTGTCTCACTTAGCTACACATTTTGGGCTCAATTGTGGCTGTAAGTCGAGGACTACCTGTACAGTGGTTACTCACCCTAACCATACCTATACGTTTGCCACCCATCTCAACCATTCTTAAGAAGAACACCATTTTGTTTATGGCTCCAATGTGGCTACTATTTAATAATTTCCTCAATATTGCCAAGATTATAGAGATACGGATAGAGGTAGTCCTCATAGTACAACTACTTGTTTAATGACCATTCAAAGTCATGATGGTGCCGAATTAGAGCGGCTTATGTATGGGCTGTGGTGTTGTGACTATCGCAACACTCCACATGACCATGATTCTGGAACTTAACAGCTGGCTCAAAATTATGATTGCAGTGATCACTGTTTGCAATCTTCCCTGCTGGCATAAGCAAAGTCAATGAGGAAACTGAAGGGTAGTCAAAATCATCTCATTCCAGCTGCTTTCTGGCATGTCCATCTGTACTCCAAAGCACTTGCCCCTATGTAGCGTGTCCCTTTGGCACCTGCCCACATTCTATAGCACTCACCTGTGGCTTCTACCCGCCCAATAGCTGTCGTCTGCTGGCATACTTACCTGGATTCATGCCTCTTCCAACCGCTGCTGACTTAACTCATGGGAACTTGCATAGTGGTAGGATTAACATCACCAAGTGTCATATGACATTGTACCAAGTGACAGACATTCTGATTCAAACTGCTCTTGTAATCTGAGTACTACTACTAGTCCTTAATTTACCGACCACTATTAGCACCAGCAACTCGGTTGCTAAACAACATGCTTACAAACTGAAATGTAATGTGACCGTGACATCTGACTTCCTGCCAGCTCCCGCATTGACTTCATAGGAAAATGATGATTTGTGGCAAGAAAGCCTCTGTTATGGTCCTTGGATGACTGTCAGGGAGCCAGGCAGAGATGCAGTTCACAGAATTCCTGTCCATTGCCAGAATTGCTGGGAGCTGTAGTTTGGTAATATCTGCTCTGTCACAGTGATAGAAATGCTTGATTATTCACATTTCTCTTATATAGGACGTGCTTGCATTGGGCATGCAAGCGTAACCAAACTCATATAGTTAAGTACCTGCTAGACCATGGAGCCGATAAGGGGATTTTTACAAAGAACAGAGATCTGGCAGTACATCTGACTTCAAAAAAAGAAATCAGAAAACTTCTTGGAGGTGTGCTTGATAACTTGAATTTATCTTTCTAAAAATATTCAATGGATCTGTCTTTAGAGCATAATGCTTGCATTCTGAGATATCGGTGAAGTTCATAATGAAGGAGTAAGTTAAGGGGAAAAGATTCATTTTATTCTTGCTTTATGTCTAACTTAAAAGAGTTTGCTGATGTTGTTAACACTTCATTAAGATATTGGTTTAATCTCATCCCTATGATTCTTCCCACCCCCACCCACTCTTGGTTCCTCTTTTCAGTAAAATAGAAAAGTTGTAGGCTAGATTACCAGCCTGGCATGTTTGGCCATTATGCCACAGATGCAACCAAAGCCCAGTTGTGCTCCAAACATGCTTTTGACATTTTGTGCAAGCTTGGATTCTTAATCTAAATATTACCTTGGAAGTTAACCTACCTTGGAAAGTGATTTCATCTTTCCATTTATTTATTTCAGTGATTTGTACATGGCTCCCTGTCTCAGTTCTGTGACTCTGGGTGGAAAACATTAATTAAAGCCATAATAATCAACCCTTTCTCCTGAAGATAAAAATAACCACAATATTAATATAATCGTTAAGAGGTTTTCAATGTAACATGCTTCAGTGGTACAATTGGTTCATTTAATGTCTCAGCACAATGCCAGAGGGAATAGCCAAGTATTTCTGAACACCAGCAAAATCAACAGGGCCTCTGAATCTCAGGGAGGGATGGTGTTCCATAGGCCAGGCATTGTGACAGTAAAGCCATGCTTCCTGGATTGCATTATGTGACACTTTGGGTACAATTCTGTTCCGCTGGACATTTGGATGGTATATACCTGGGCATATTTCTCTGTTTTATCTTCTGTTTTCAAATAAAGTATAACAGTGCAAGATTCCTATTCTTAAAAAAGCATTTGCCACTGCAGCGCCAGGCCCTGTACAACAGGTAGTCCTCGACTTACAAGTGACTTATGTCCATTTTTCACAGTTATGGCTTCTGCAGCTGTTCCATGGTCACATGATCAAACTTCAGATGCTTGGCAACTGACTCATATTTATGACGGTTGCAGTGTCCCAGAGTCACCTGATCCCCTTTTGTGACCTGACAAGCAAAATCAGTGTGAGAAGCGGAATTCACTTAACCACATTATTAGTTTAACAGTTGTGGCAAGTCATAAAGTGGGGCAACTCACTTAACAAATGTTTCACTTAGCCCCATAAATTTTGGGCTCAATTGTGGCTGTAACTCGAGGACAACATGTATTTCTCTTGCATTTAAACTGTTTGCTGTTCCTTTGCAGTTAAAATGTGTCACTCAAAGTTGAGGTATAGTTTAGTTCTGCTGATTCTGGAATGCATGGGAGATAGTGGTTTAAAATGGTTGTTTTTTTTATTTTCTCCCAATAGCTCCTGAAGTGGAAGGTGGTGATAATGAAGAAGTGACTAACTTAAAGCTGCTGAGTATGGCAAACTGTCTCACCAATGAATCATTTCCAGGGACTTACAATCAAAAAGGGGATAGTGCCACTCTTATGGCTGTTCCACCCAAAGAAAATAATGCTGCCATACCTCTTTTATCCGCTGGTGATACTAGCCTTTGTTTATCAGTTCAGGCAGAAAACAATGGCATGGACATTTCTTTGCATAAAGAAACCGAACTCCCTGGGAAACACTTTTGGGTTGAGGAGCTCATTTCATCCGTGGTTGCAGAAGCATCTGAAGACATAAAGTCTAGAGTTCAAAGCTTTCCTCCCTCATTTTCTTCATCTACACATCGCAACAGAAATCACTTGACTTCATGTCAATCTATACAACATATGCCTAACCCAAAAAATGGTGCCAGAATGGAGGCAGAGTCAGCATTACAGCCACTGCTTTTCAACGGAACATTTCCGTGCAATATGCATGGTGGTGAAAACTTTTCAAGTAATGTTTGTTTATTCTTCTTGATAGATTGTTTGGCAGGTTTGATCTTCTTCCAATGGGCAAGCGCCCATGATAAAGCAGGTGGGTTTGGATGGGCACTAAGAGAGGCAGCAATAGTTCTAAGAGCCCAGGGCACCTTTGGAGTTCAAGGTAGTCTTTGACTCAGTGGTGGGTTGCACTTACCTTCACTACCTGTTCACTGATCGTGTGTGTGTTCCGTTCGCGCATGCGCCTGACTCACACTACACGAGTGTGCACAATTCACCACCCCTGCAACAACCAGCTGATTGTCGAGACTCACTCAGGTGCCACACGCTGTGCATGCATGCACAATTAGCCTTTTTCCATAAAAACAGGTATAGAGTGCGGGTGGGCCAAAAGAGCCACCATATTGGTTCGCTCTCAGCTGCTCCGGGCCGCTACCAATTCGGCCGAAATGGGTCAAACCGGCAGCAACCTACCTCTGCATTCGTTTGTCTGTTAAATGACGTTAATTATAACCACACTGATAAAAGTGCAATTTTTCACCTTTGTGACTGTTTTTCATGGCCATTGCAGCATCCCCACAGTCACGTGATCAAAATTCAGATACCTGGCAACTGGCCTGTATCTAATGATAGTTTTATTGTCCTGGGGTCATGTGATCACCTTCTGACAAGCAAATTCAATGGGGAAGCCAGATTCACTTAACAATTGTATTAGTAACTTAACTAGTGATTCATTTAACAACGGTGGCAAGAAAGGTCATAAAATGGGGCAAAACTCACTGAACAACTGTCTTGCTTAGTAATAGAAATTTTGGGCTCAATTGTGGTTGTAGCTTGAGGATTATCTGTATAGATGGTGAATCCCTTTTTCCTTTGTCCGCAATCTTATTATCCATTTGCCATAACCATCAACATTATATTTCGATCTTCATTTTCCCATTATATGCTAAGGTAAAGTGTGTCTCAAATCAAGTTTGACCCTCAATGATGGACATATGACCACTTGGCAAGAATTCAGTGATTTGGCATTTCCGTCTTCAGAGAAGCCCTGCACTCAGTATCTCCAGTTTCCTAATTTAATCTGCAGTTAATCTCTTCTGCTAATCATAATTGTCTGGAGCCATTTCTCTCTTCTGTTAATGAAGGACATAGTTTAAAGAAAATGAATTGGGGATTACAGAGAATGTATCATTTTAGTTCCTGTACTTGTTAATGAGCTTATTTATTTCACCTGAATATATATGTTTCCCCCCCATATAAAGATACAGAATTGGTGCTTAAAGTTAGAATTCAAAATCCTAAAGAATATGACTTCATTGAAATTGAACTGGACAGAAAACAACTGACTTACCAAGATCTGCTCAATGTGTGTTGCTGTGAGCTGGGAATTAATTCTGAACAAGTGGAGAAAATTAGAAAATTACCTAATACATTATTGAGAAAGGTAAAACACAAAGATTTTCTTTTACACATTTGTTTGGTGACATTGGCTGTTGAAAATTGCTCACTATCCAAAATAGTACACAATTGGATTGGATTGGTTTATTGGATTTATATGCTGCCCTTCTCCCAAGGACTCAGAGGACACAAGAGACGTGGAACTAGCAGTTGTTATTATTGTGACATACAATTGATTTTTTTAATTATTAGGTAGTGTAGAAAGAATTAACATCCTCCATTTGAATGTGTTGCTGTCTAAAAGGGCTTTAGGATCAGTTCAGAATTTCTCATGCATGCCAACAACTAGCGTGCAAGAATATTCCTTGCCAAGATAACAATACAAGAAGAAATCCTTCCTTCAGACAACAGCTAGAGACAGAATCTTTTGCTCTATGTGCATGAGCATGTTTGTGAATCAGCAAAAAAATATTTTGGGCATTCCTTCAACCTCTGGTTTTTAGCGTGAAAGCCTTTCTCAGTAGAGAAAAAAACAGTTCACTTTCAGGAAGTGAGCATAAATTGTAGCTTAAAATTAATGCAATTCGTGTAGCACAATTCTGGCTGGAGTGTCAGTCCAGAGTTCCATACCATGGAGAACCTGGATGGTGCTCAATTGAGACAGAAGTAAGAGCATTTAAATGTTGGTTTATATGGACTTAAGCACTTGTTGCAGTTCACTGCCCTGAATGCTGTGGGTTTCCCCCCTGCTGCTATTATTGTATGTAAAATTTCTATAGAGGATTGAAGCAAGTAATTAATCAATAGTTTTTGATAAGAATTGTACCAAATGCTTCTTGCTGTTAGTCAGCATAATGTAGAGTACAGATTTATAAACCAAAATGAGCACCTCAGAGTGTTCCACCAGTTAGTTGCTGGGAGCATAATCAACATTTATCTAAAGCAGTTGGCTGATCTGTATTAGCAAGGGCCAGGAAAACCAACCAACCGACCAACCATTATTTTTTCATGCCAAAGAGGGGGGAAGGCCGGTATGGCATCTACTGTTTACAGATCTTCTATTTGATATGGATAAGTAGGAGCTGAGGTAAGATTCAGTTAAGGATTCTTGCAAAATCAATAATTTCTGAACAATTGTTTCATTGTTTTTAACATGGGTTTAATTAGTAAGTTGAAATCCATGTTGGAAAATATTTTGCTTGTGCAATTTAAAAAGCGTAACCAGCCAAGTTTGAATCATACAGTAAAGAATTTTAGATGAGCAAACCTCCTGTTGGTCTCGGTCTTTTTTCTGATTCTGAGATTCTGCCAATGCTCTTCTAATTCTACTATCCCATGCTTCATCCTCAGTCACACTTCAGCTCTCAGAGACAGTGTTCAGAGTAATGCTTTCTTAACTATGTAGAGCTTTGTAACTATAGCCAATAGAGTAGTACAGGGATGGAAAAATCAAAGAGAAACCGCTAGGCTCATTTCAGCAGAGTAAAATAAGGGGACCATGGAAAAATGGATGGCTGTTCCTCCCCCTACCCTTATTATCTGCCTAATCAGGAAGTAAAAGGATCTTTGCACCAGGATGGTATAGATTATTTGCCTGATCTTACAGTGCCCTTTTTACTGTTGAAGCACTGTTTGACCTCCTCCTTAATCTGACAGATCTTCAACCTTCTCATATTTACAGGATTGCATTTGTTTGTGTGTACAGGCATATACAAAATAAAATTGGCTGGATCACTTCATATATGTATTTAATATGTATACTTAAATATTTTTGGTTCCTTTTTATACTTAAACTTTAACTCATATCATAAGCCAAAGAGCTGAACTACCTTTTTGCAAGATTTTATCTTCTCTTCCAAGGATTTGCAGACTCGGTAAAGAGCTGCATGCAAGCAAACTTCTCAAACAGGATTCCTTACTCCTTGTTTTAATACTAGTAATTGGCTGTTTCTGCATTGAACTGATTTGCTTAAGCAGCATTGATTCAAATTATCCAGGTTCATCTAGCACTGCAGGTCATAACTTATGAATTGTCTGCATGTCACCCCCAATAAAACATATTATGAAACAAATCCTTTGAGATTTTTATGTGAAAATGCTCAAACGCAACTGGTATAAGGATTTGGGACTTTCTTGCAAGACTAACAAAATTTGGGTGATTTAGAGAGTTTTTTTCATACTGTAGTCATTTCATGATGCTACCTGAGTACAGAAAGTTTGGCAAAACCTACAACAATTTTGGCCTCTGAGCCAGAATAAACCAGTTTCTAGATACTAAACTCAAAACTGAGCAAACTGCATAATTTATCAGTGCAGTGTGTAAGTCAGGTGCTTCAGTAATTTATATAAAGGATAGCACATATAACTCTTAGCCTTTAATGTTCCATTTCTAACGAAGAACTTGCATTAATTGACAAGGTGTAAACAAAGCAATGACAAGTCTAGATAGACCCAGTGCTCTAAGAATAGCGCTGGTAATTGGGATATTTCATTGAGCTTAACTACATTCAGATGAGAGCATTCTGCAACCCTCTTCACACTAAATATAAAATAGCTCCAGGGACGTGGTGGGAAGGGGGCTTCGTAAAACTTCTTTGGGTTTACTCTGTAATATGGATTAGTATAATAAATATGGAATGCTTGAACAGTTCCTGAAGCTTAAAAGAACATTTTTCATTTACTGAGATTCTTAAGGTAGTATTAAAGTAATCCATCATCCTAATGCAGTCTCCATTACCTGTTTTATTATTAGATTTCACAGTTTGAAACTGCTTTAATTATTTTAAAAATACTACTTCCTTTCTCCTCCAAGGATGAAGATGTGGCCAGGCTTCAGAATTTTCAAGAGTTGGAGCTAGTTTTAGCGAGAAGTATCACATCCTCTCTCAGAAATGCTGCAGTAACAACACTGATAGAAAAAACTTGCTACAACATCAAAGCAGCCAACCTGATATATTGAAGCTTAGGATTTACAGGAGAGATAGTGAATATTCTATTTTAAGCTATTATTAAAGCTATTTTTAAAAAGTTTTATATAACTTTAAGATGCAGTACTTTTATGCTTCTACTTAATATTGTTGGAGTTAGCACTAAATTCCTAATCCATGTAAGCACACCAGAAGTTTTATGTGTAATCTGTCGTAACTACTTCTCCATATGCAAACCAAAAAAATCCTGACTAAAATAATCACAGCTATTTCATTAGCAGGTTCTTGTTCCCTTAGAACAGGGGTAGTCAACCTTTTTATACCTACCGCCCACTTTTGTATCTCTGTTAGTAGTAGGAGGCAGCGAGCGTGGTCACCTCATGACTGCTAGGTTGCCCTGCTGCAACAGCGCAACACAGCCGTTTGCCCCCGAGTGCCCGTGTCCTCCCATCTCTTTGGGAGCCCTCTCACAAGAGGTCAACCCCCCCTCTCCAGCCGGGCAGACTGCCACTCACTGCCCCAGCGGTATCCCGAAGGCGCCAAGCTTGTGCAATAGGTATTACGTTGATGACTCTCAGGGCCCTCTTTACTGTATACATTGCTGTATTCTGGACCACATGAGATTTCTGGGTGGTCTTGACAGGTATAGAACACATTGCAGTAATCCAGGTGGAAGGTGACCAAGGTGACCAAAGATAAGGAATCATCTGGTTCAGGGGGCACCAAAAATGACAAACCACCCAACTTGCCAGGGATGAGCCAAAGCAGATTCCTCCCCATGCAGACTCTTACAGCCTTCAGGCACTCAGTCAGCACTGTGGTTGCACCACTTATTTGGCTGGGGTAGAAATATGTAACTATTAGCATACTAATGATAAGAGTCCATACCAATGACCTCCTCTAGCAGTTTCATGTAGATCAGGGGAGTCAAAACTCGATTTCATTGAGGGCTGCATCAGGTTGTGGTTAATGGGGGGGGGGGAGTGGGGGCGTGGCCAGGTTTGCATCACTTGTGTCGGGTGGACACATGTGGTGGCCTGGGCAGGGATGGGGTGGGGAGATAATTGTCCCCAGTGGAGAAAAGTGAGACTAGGGCAAGCACCAAATCCTTGTACACCAGAGGAGCCTCACTGTCCCTCAGGCCATATGGAGGACCCCTGGATGGCAGTGCGGGGTGCCTGGAGCCCTGGGCAGCAAAGGATGTGCCCAGTCAGCCTTCAAGTTCCTAGGGC